TGATTGATTGACGTGATGTATGTTTTACATTACAAACATGAAGAAACAAGTTCACATCATTCAGTGTCTTTTTCTTCATTCTTATCCCAAATCCTCGAGAACAAACTAGATTTTAGGTTCCCAGCCAGGCCTGGCGTGATCCGTTTGTCTGAGGTCTGCTGCTCTCCAGCCGCCAGCAACTTAGAGGAGACCGCAGCCGCCCTGAAGTTAGCCTCGCGCGCGGCCAAGGTGGTGAACCAACGGCCACCTGGAGCAACCTAGTGACCACTAATTTGAAGACCTCCCATGTAGGATGAAGTTGGGTCAGAAGTTGGAGGTTTTAAAGTTGGTTGAGGTGATTAGGGTTCAGGTTCGAAGGTCCGCTGAGGTGTATCACTCGACAAAACTTGCCAGATGACCTGGCTAGTCACATAGCTTTGACGTTGCACTGTTGCCGCCGAGGTCTGATGGATGTGAGCCAGCCCTGGAAGAGTAGTAGTATGAAGCAAGCAGACAACCTGCTGGTTTCTACTACAAAGTGCTGTAGTTTTTTTTCCTGAAGCCCAAGGCATCAAGAACTAAAGGCGGATCTTGGATGTCTTGTGTGGTACGAAGTGCATGAAGCGGGCACCCTTTGCGAAAACTGCTGCAGGGGACCCCCACCATGCCCTGACGGTCGGCCATTTGACGGCGTGCGCCCGAAGAGGCCTTCGGCGGTCAGGGCCTCCTTTTCCTCCGAAACTGTATAATTAATAATTGAAAATGAGAGGCCTGGCACAAGTTGGAAAAAGGCAGACAACATGTCCCTTTTACTTTTTGTTTGCATTTTTAGCTGCTTTTGAAGTGGGGAGGGCTATCAAGCCGTTTCAAGTTCCAAACCTCGACGTCCTCAGAGCATGCGTGGCATGCGTGGCATACAAGTCCAACCCCAAGGGATGCTCTGCAGGATGCTGACCTCTCCAAGATGCCGGAGGACTTCGACCCCTTCTACCACCACTTGCGGCACGTGAGGCCTGGCATATATGGCTGCGGCATACATGGCACACGGAGCATCATACTCTAGCTGTTTAAGGCCAGCTTCCACCTGCAACTTGCTGATTGGACCTCTGTTTTTCCCTTCACGGGTCCAACGCGGACCGAGGCGCCGGCGCGAAGAGCTGTCTCCACGTCAAGCTGCCAAGAGGGACGAGCTCACGAAGCGAGGAAGAGACGAGTCGTGGCCGCTTGGGAGGTTCAAAGGGTGCAATGCCGCAATGCCTGTTGAGGAAGGGTATGACATGGAATCTAGACCTCACTCAGGATAGCTGCAGGCGTACACTGCACAACGCTTGGGCGGTTGGGCATGAATGATTTCTGGAAAGCTCACTCCAAAATGAAGGAACTCTGAAACAAGCAATCACATCAGTGAATGAGCCACCAAACTCAGTAATTACATTTCCCATAATGTGCGTCACCAACCAAGGTAGGACGCCAAACCGACAAAAGTTGTGGCAGGAAACTTCAGCCCGAGCTTCATTGCAGATCTGGCGGTGAAGCCCAGGGTGGAAGCGCAACCTTTGCTAGCCTTTATGGAGCAGGTGCGGAGCAGGTAGAAGTCACATCGCAGCTTTTCACCAATGATGTACAAGGCTTCTCCCTGCTACGCCAACATGGAATGGTAGGAAAGTGCAAAAGCCCTGGGTTCTTGGATGTTTTTGCTGCTCAGAGATCCGAGCCTCTCATGCCTTGCAACTCCACCTGTCACCGGGATTTTAGTTTTCCGGCAGCGTTGGGTTCTGACGCTCACTGCCCACTGTCAGAGGAGAATCCTAAGAACTAAATATGGGGAACGCGAGCCTGGGCGGTCGCCTTCAGTCTTTTCATGTCTTTTTGTCCTGAGTGGTCGCAAGGGGGACTTTATGTCGACGGTGGAGCAGAAAGTGGATGCAGACTCTGAGCACCAACTCCTCTCCAGGCAGATTTACTTCTTTAAAAGTTCCTTGCCGCTGCATTTGTGCAGAAGACTAGCAGAGCAGCGACTAGCACTGTGCCCTTCTGTCATAACTTGTGAATAGCTCAGGCTCAATAAGCAGCTGATCGTGCACACCCAACCCATCAATCCATGGATGGTTCTTAGGTCCATAGTAAACTATAACTATAACTCCCTGTATAGTATATGAACTCCCTCAAATTCTGACAAATCATCCACCTACTGCTTCGATGTGAGGCGCCTCCGGAGCCTCCGAGCCAAGGAGCCGCGAGGCGATCCGAACTCTCCGGCTGAGGCGTGGGCTTCGGGCGAGACGTTTCCAGCGGAGACGTTCGTGCCGCGAAGGGGTCAAAGGGCATAGAAGGCGCAAGGTAAAGAGGTCAGGTCCGTGGCGAAGGATGAATTGTCAACACAATACATTCTAAGCGGAGAGATGCTGATGTACCAACTGTGAGCAGGAAGTGGGCGCCGCCAAGTCAGCTCGACAGCGGAAACTCAACACAGGAGCTTACTTGGTGGTGCTTAAGAGGAGAACCAACAAGTTGGATCAAAAGCCCCGGACCACGGGTTTTGAGCACTGCAGTAGGCATCCAGGAGTAATTTTTAACCTTGTGGTGCATTGTGTATATTTTTGTCACTATGTTTGGTCAAGCGGGACACGGATTCTCCAGTGCTGGTATCTGAGAGAGCCTGGCATGCCTGAGCATACATCATCTAAATAGAAAAGTGACCGTCCTGGCCTTGGGACTCTTTTATTTTTTTAAATCAGGAGCTACAGCGCCTGTGAAGTTTGCCGCGAGCGCTGGGAAGGGCAGCAAGATGCAGCGGATGCTGGAGTTGTTGGATCCAGGAGTGGGGGTTGTGGTGGACAATTGGGCAACGACCCAAACCTCTGATGGTCTCACAGGCTTAGGGGTTTTGTGGCAGGATGCGCAGGAATGATTTGTTTGAGCCAGTTGAAGCTCTTGAAGCAGGAAGCTAGTATAGAATTTCACCGACATTCGCAGCACGCCTGGGTTCGTTGCTTAAGAACGTGAGAAATCAATCCGATCTTGCCAACACCTCCAATACAGGAAAACGGGCTGGATATGTGGTGGCGGACGCGCTGGTGCCTTTGATGTGGCTCGGAATGAAAGCCATGTCTATGTCCCAAATCAGATTCTCAAGATTGCAGCTTGCAAGATAATCATAATCCGCCTCACTTGGTTGACATCAATTATATAGTTATAGTTAAAGGCCAACCACTCAAGACTAGAAAGAAGTTTCATTTCAGTCATGTCAGTCCTTGCACGGCCTTTTTTGAACCAAGAGGTTCTGGCTGGGCCTTACGAAGAGTCGCACAGCAGCCCTTGAGACCTTGAGGACCATCACGCTGAAGGGTCAGATTCCAGCCGCAAAAGCGCAGAAATGGGCACGTTGTAACTCAACGCCTTTAGGAAAGTCGGGGCTTGTTCGAAATCCAAACCTACTTGAACTTGTGACTTGAACTCCTGTTCTCCACTTTGAACTCTAAGTCTTGTATGATTTGGAACGCCGCGAGGCTTGCTTTGCTAGTCACACATCTCCATCCCCTACGCGTTTCTGCCATCGCTGGTTGTGCAGGATGGGCTTTGGATCCCTCCAGATCGACAGTGGGGCCTTGCTGGTCATGGGGGAGCACGTGGAGGTCCAGATGCGACTGGTGGAGGGGTGCCAGGCCCAGTCACCATGGACATTTTCCACCATCCTCGCTGGGCGGCCATTATGAGCTGATCTGTTATATGCTGTTGGATGTGCTACAGCTAGAGGAACCTTGTGCTGGGCTGTTTTCAAAGGTAATTAGCAACACTTGATGTCCGGTCTGGTCTCGACATCCAGTTGAATTTCTGGAGTTTCCTTGGCCAAAGTGTTCAGTAGGCGGAGGTAGAATCAATATGAGGCTACGGCACCTCATCCGCCGGGAATCCTTGGAACAGCTCTGCGAATACATCACAGGCGGCAGGGCGTGAGGCTTCGAGGTTCTTGAAAAGACCGAGGCTCATGGCGGTCAGGAATTCTTTGGCCGATTTCGGCCACCCCTTTCCTTACTTTTCCGGCTGGATGGGTGTGGGGCGATTCCAACCGGGAAGGAAGGATGAACAGAAGTTCAGTAGGCTATTTGCACATGCCCCGACGGCCCCGACCAATGTAGTGAACTAGTGCAGCCATGGGTTGTAGACGATTGAGGCCTCATTCTCCAAATCCGCGTGGCAGGTGTTAGGCGGGCCAGTCAGGCTTGCTTGCGGGAGAGCATATTCATGCATCACCAGTGGCCAGGCAATAACTTCCAGCGACTGCGTGCCTGGTTCAACTCCATGCGAGCTGACCAGTTCGGCTGCGTTGACATTACCCAGGCGCGCAATGGTGCGCATGGGTCGGTATGCGGTATGCAAGAGTCGAGCTTTCTGAAGCGTTTTCGCTCGACTCACTCGACTCACCATGTCTTTGTTGCTTCACTGCAGATCCTATTGGAATATCTTGGCACTTGCCTCTCACTGACCGAGGTGCAGAGCCTCTTCGCCAGGATGGAGGTGACGACAGACCGGCAGACGCTCTTCCGCTTGTTGAGACCTTTGGTGGCAGCGATAGGGGGGAACACGCGGTACCTGGGCCGAACACCTAAGCCCTAAGCCAAACACTGGTTCGACGCGTTTGTTGAGTTTGGGATGAGCTTCGTAGAACATGTTGGTGAATGTTTAGTTTGAAACATATTTCCGACAGTTCTCTCAAGATCATCAAAAAAACCCTCAGTTGATTCATGTGCTGAGTGCTCCCAAGACTACGGATCCGGGTGTAACTATTTAGACTGCCATGTGCTATATTATTGTTCCGAGGCTACATCATTGAGAACCCGCATCCGACTGCAGCAGCCTGCTGAGTGATTTGCCGCGTTCGATAGATTGTACTATCAGGAGCCCAGGAGCTCCGGCACATCATGAGTCGTGAAACGGTATCAAATCCTTTTCCGAAGCCACGATTTCCGATTCCTGTAGGTCCACTAATGAACTCCACATGACATGAGAGACGGTTGCGTTGTGACTCAACGGTTGCTTGGACCTCCGTCTCGGGTCGCAGTGCGAGTCTTTCGAGCGAGTCTTTCGCTGCTGGTCCGACAAGGCCAAAGATCCACGGGAAGCAATGGCCATCGAAAAGAAGAAGTTTAGCCTACAGGGGTTGGGAGCTCAGGGGAGCCGAGGTGGGAAGGCAGAAAGCTTGAAGATTGCATTATTGCATTCAGGGTTCGGTTCGGAATGCGTGCTATAGGGGAAGTAGCATAAGCAGGTAGAAGCCCACACTGGCATACGGGCATGCAAGGGCATACTGCATGTCGGACTTGAGCATCTAACATGCACTGAAGAAACAGGTGGAGGCTCTTGGCAAGGAAATCTCAGCTCTTGCAGGTTCGGCTCCCTCATTTGCCGCTGTGCTGCCTCTTGGGTGCTTCATCGGGTCTTCCGGCCCGGCTGCCAGTTGTTTTTGTCTCTTCATCTCCAGCCTGGTCCCACCAGCTTCGAGGACTCGGGAATGAGTCAACTTTGCGCCTTTGGCACCAAATCTCAAAACATCTCGATCCGATTTGTCCGAATTCTACTAACTACTACTAGCGGCACGAAGCTACTAGATGCTACTAGGGGCTCCTGGCCTTACTACTAGGAACAAGGACGCTACTACGGGGTTCCTGGCATCGCTACTAGGAGCAAGGACGCTACTAGGGGCTCCTGGCCTCCATTAAATCAGCAAGTGCAGCAAGTGGACCGCACGTTGAGGTCCATCCTTGAGGCACCTGAGGGCGCTTCGCGTCGTGTACTCACCGAGCAGGATATCGCCATGAGGCGCCGAGTTGCGGAGTGGCGGGGTGAGCTCCCAAAGGCTGACTGGTGCTGAGGGTCTCCAACCTATACAATAGCAACACCGGAGCAACTCAAAGGGAACCTGATGGAAAGGGAACCAAATAGCGATGGCCTCCATCCTAAGAGCGATGGCCTCATTACTCATCCCTTACGGTCTGCAAGTTTATCTTAATTGACTCGTGATCTATTTTGCAACCTATTTAATAGCGGTTTGTATAGTATACGGTGTATAGTTACACTATATACTATATATATATATTATAGTTATGTGTTTTTTCTTTGCGGAGAGAGGCGCAGGATTATAATATTACTGAGTGACTCGTGTTTCATTATATTGTAATGTGAACATTGGATCCTTTGGTGACATGACCTTGGTCTTCTATAACCACAACCTCCACGACACCTTGTTTTTTGCTCGACGCACACACACGCACACATATTTTGAGTTATATAAATGTTTTGTATCATCCTGTATCCAAAGCATCGAACCCCTGACCTTCATATAGTCAAAGTAAAACTCTCAAAAGATGGAAGCATTGTTTAAGAATGATTTCGTGAGATAGGACACTTGCACGAGAAAAGTAAGCTTGTCAAGGACCCAAGAAACGGACCAGGCACAAACTGGAGCCCAATCTGGAGAGGGGGCACATACTCTTTGCAGCTATGCTATTGAAAATTGCTCTGAAGATGACCGTCCATGGGATGATATCATTTGCAGGACGAAGGTGCCTCCAAATGTCACATGCAGCATATGCATGATAAAGGTATCATTAGCAAAAGTGGTTTGTTTGGTGACTTGATGCATGTGTTGAGGGCTAGAAGAAGTTTTCTACTACAGGCCGTGGGGGTTGCAAGTTTTGAGTGGCGGGGGATTTGCATTGCTTCGAGGAGGGGCAGGGGATTGAAAGTGCAAGCCGAGGAGAGAGAGAGAGAGAGAGAGAAAAAACAACTAGTGCACATGTTGAGCAGATAGTTCTGTTCTCAAGATATCCTCCGTTCCCAATCATGGATAATGTATTAATACCCTGAAAAGAGAACTCTAGTCACTTTCAACTTCAATCTGCACCTCCCATTACACTTGGTTGATTTAACATGATTCAGTCGGGATCACATGCAATTCTTAAGCGACGCACTTCATTTTCTTCATACTCGCTTGGTGATGAACTATTTTTTGCTGTAACAGCACCTTAACTCACTTCAGTGTATAAACTGTCGGTGCTGGCTGATAGTGCGCTCTATCCAGGAACATATAGCACATGTATTGTATGTACTTGTGAAACACATCACCACAAGAAGACTTTATGAATGGCGCATTTCACAGGACATTACCAAGGTCACAGGCAGTCACAGGTTGTCTTAGGTATTAGATTGTCTGCAAACATTTGCCCTCAGAGCTTGAGATTGTTACAACATGATCGAGCCCCAGAGACCAGGAAAATACAGTGAAACAATGTGGTTTCCTCGGGCACCTTAGGGAAACGATTGGGTGAATGTTCACGACAATCAGGAACATATCAAGAATATGCGTTGATGAACCTTTGAGCAGGTGACAAGAAAGAAATAACTAGCCAGACATTATATTCCGCCGGGATTCGTTATACATTTTCAGTGTCAACGGTCAGCCGTACACCACAAGGGCATTATAAACATAAACTTTGGTCCAGTACCGGTTCGACCGATCCGCGTACAGTATCAGAAGCACTTGTGCGGGAAATCTGCTTTCTCAAATACTGGCTAGCCTGTTGGAAAGACAGTCTGGACCTTTGATGCAAACTCTGAAGGTGTTTGTCATTGCACAGATCTGCATATAAGACATAATTTATAATTATAGACTAAAATCACTCTACTTCGAGTGACCCCCACCATGACATTTCAATCATTTGTTTTCATGCCATGGTGAGGAGCATGTTGCCATGGTCGTGAGTTTTGTGGTTTGCCCAAGGTTCGCTGCTTGTCAGATGCGACTAACATTCTTGCAAGCAGATGCACTTCGAGTAATCACCCCAACTTTGGTGATTGTGTTTGTGGTTGTGTTTCTGGTCGTGTGTTTGTGATGGTGAAGATTCCGAACGTCGAAAAGTGCAAACACCATCGAAAAGTCAAAGCATACGAAAAGCCGATGAGCGTGCGAAGTTTTTTTTTTTTTTTTTTTTAAAGGCAAGGTGTTAAGGTATTTATATATTTAACGTGGTTTCGTTTTGGCTGTGAGGATGTTGGCTGACTGGCTTAGCCCTAGCCTCCAGGTGGATTCAGCTGCAGCGACGCATCATGTGCCTTGGCATAGTGGAGGGCCCTATTCGTCAGATTGCGAAGGATGAATATTTTGTCGTCTCCTTGATCGTCGGAAATTGTGGTCAATGCGCACATGCCACAGGCTTGGAAAACCTTTGATGTTTGCCCAGCCACAGGACGTGCCTGATTGTGGGAACAGAAAATGCATTCTCTTTGATGAAAAAATGTTGCTGAGCACGGACCCCAAAAGGATCCGTCAATAGAGCAAAAAAGGAACCCAACGCACTGGGTCAGCTGCATATGTTCTCGATCCTTTGTGCGCCAAGGATTTCCCTTATGGTGAACCAACGCTTTTGGGGCCGTGAGTGTCGCCAAGTGCTGGGCCATCTACAACCACCGCAGATGTCACTGGAGGAGCTGATCCCGTGGTTGGTGAAGAAATGACATGACATGACCTTTTTGCCACATACATGTCAGTCAAACCGGAGTTTTCAACTCAAAAAGAAACTTGTGTGCAAAATCAATGCATTTTGTGCGCTCTTTGTGTCTCTTGCTCGGCTTGTTTCCTTCCCATACCCTAGACATTTTTATGTATTGGATTTGATGCCCCACAAGTAGCCTTGCACCAGTGAGGAGCTGGGTAATCTATCTCCGGAGCAGCCGCCTGACAAAAAGGGGTGGCCCAGAAACCCACATACCCTCAGACACCTTCTACACCCTTCACTCTGTCCTTTTTGATAGACTTTTTGAAGAGAATACGGGGTGGGTGGGTGGGTCTGGATGACTTGCCATTATTCCAGGAAGACGCCGAATCTGAGGTGGAACTTGCTCTTCCAACGCGTCCGTGCACAAGGGTTGGCTTCCGTGCTGCTTGGTTGCAGGAGGAGCTTTGCCAATGTCTGATTCCAGGCCTGAAGTTTACAGTAGATGAATCTAGTTGAAACTAATACGCAGCCTTTTGTTCCACATAAAGCTTGACGTAATATGGCAACAAAGAACCCATGCCTGAAGGGTCCAAACGTCCCGTGTGGCAATTGGCTGAAGCTGCCACAGTTGGTCGAAGGTCATCCATCAGAGCTCCCATCATTTGAGCCATGTCGCGCTTCTTGGTGATCCTCCTCAGTGCCGCCTTGGTGCCCAGCTCTGCCTTCGTGGCACCTGGCGCTCCTCGGCCAGCTTTGCGCTCAGCCAGCCAGGTGGAGCAGATGCAGCGAGTGGAGATGATCGAGGAACCCTCCACTTTCCCCTTCGGCGCTGTTGCGATGGCTTCCGTGCTGGGACTCATGGTAGGCCTCGCCAGTGGTCCTCAAGTGGCGATGGCAGAAGACGCCCCTGCCGCCCCTGTGATGGACAAGAAGGCCAAGCTGAAGGCAGAAGTGGAGAAGGCACAGGCTGCCTTCTCAAAGAATGCCAAGAGCAAGGACGACCGTCTGAAGGAACAAATGAAGCAGCTCGAGGATTTCAGCAAGACTGCCACCACCAACAAGGCGTCCAACTGAGAGGCACTAGCTTTTTTTTGGATACAAGCCATGCCATCGAGGAGCCATGGCGAAGATGCTCAAATCCAGTGCAGGAATGCGCGCGGACAAAAGTGCGGTCTGTATGTGGAGATGGCGTTCATCAATCGATTTGATAGTTTTGTGACATTGGTGATTTGATTCAAATTGATCCAGTTGGTCAGCATGGGTAAGCACAGACCCTCAGCATGGCCCAGGCTTTCGGACGAAGAGACTTGGCATCTTGGCTGGTGGCTTCTCGGGGGGTAGGAACAAGAAGCTACTAGGAGCAAAGGGCATCGCTACTAGGAGCAAGGACGCTACTAGGGGCTCCTGGCCTTACTACTAGGAGCAAGAAGCTACTAGTAACAAGGGCATTACTAGTAGTAACAAGAAGCTATTAGAAACAATAAGTAACTCCAGTTCTCAGGTCGTGAACCTCGCCGCTTCCAGGCCGCGGAGTTAGTGGGCACCCGCCCGATACGAGTCGACTCCCGATACGTGTGGAGTGTCAAACACGAATTAGTGAGGAAAAGCAGTGAATATGCAATGACACGTGAAGATATATATATATATATAGTTCTGGTGCCGCGGGCAACACACAAAGTTCATCATGTGGCGGTAGCCGGTTCACTTGCACCAATTTCTTGATCGAAGTCTCTCCGTAAAAACAGGACTCATTTTCCGCAAGAGGGATTTCCACACACCTACACCTGCCAAATGTCTTTAGCCAAGCCCCACAACAAAAGAACACAGGCAGCAACAATCAACCGGCCCAGCGCTGCCCTCACCGTGAACAAGCACACGCAAAAACATCGCTGCAAGCAGGAGAGTTCATTTCATCATGTGGCGAGCCTCAGTTTGTGCCAGAGGCCACGCCACAGTGTTCAAACCTACCATGTGATACGTGTATAAGCAACGCATGTATTTAGGGGCTTGTATTTGCCTCACTATGTGCACAGGATCAACTTTCATGCTCCCAGCGGTGGAGCTGTTTCACATTGTTGTGAGCTTGTGGAGCTCCCGAACGGAAAAGAAAGGATCGCGCGTTTCGCCGTTTCGGCATTCCGGGCTGCCTTGGCTCGCGTTTGTTTCTTGTTTGGGCCAGTTGAAGGCAGTATCAAACTGAGTTGTTGGTATTAGTTATTTGTGCTGGCCTGGCTAGCACTAGCAGACATCGAGCACTGTGAAGCTGTCAAGAGGTGTGAGTTGAGGAGAGCAAGTCCGGAGTGTGAAGGTACTACATCAACTTGAATACTTGAAAGCAGGTGAACTGATGTGTGAAGGGACGGATGGCGAGGTATTGACAAAAGGTGACGAGGTATTGGAAGTGAACTGATGTTGATGATCAGTTCACGCCCAACAGATGCATGGCTTCTTACATCATGGCTTCAGGGTAGTTTGCTTCTAGGAGAAAGAAGCTACTAGGGGTTCCTGGCCTGGCCTTACTACTAGGAAGAGGGATGCTACTAGGGGCTCCTGGCATCGCTACTAGGAGCAAGGACGCTACTAGGTTGGACCGGCCACCGCGCCTTCACATGGACACCTCATGTTAGGCCTACGGAGTCGAAGTGTTGGATGTGTCGCGGTCGGGTCGCAGCTCCAGGCGAACGTCCATTTCCGGAGACGGCAACCATCCATACTTTCCCTTTTCCTTGCCCCACTTTGCATGCCCTACCGCGATTCCGTTCTTTTTGGGTATTCGAGCCGCTTCACGATGGCAACCGCCCGCACCAGTGGCTCTCAGAGAGAGGAGGGCAAAAGACGTCTCTATAATCACTCTATTTTTGCACTCACTCTCTTACAAATTGTTTGGTTATGTCTTGCATGCAAGTTGCAAGCGTAGTTATCAATATAGATATATTTTTCATCCCCCATGATATTCGGACTAGAAAATGGGAGGGGTTGACGTCTGTAGAAAACGGGCATTCTTTAGTTTGAAGGAGGTACACTCACCGGGAAGGGGTCAGGTATGGCATTTTCTGGTGACCTGCAGGTCACTAGAAAATGAGGATCACAGGTCTCATAGGCATGCTGGCAGGGTCATTTTCTAGACATCACCTTGTTTTCTTTGATCCCACCGTGATCATCATTTTCTAGTGGGGTTCCTCATTTTCTAGCAAACATAATGAATCATGATGAGTCAAGAAAGAGTTTGAGTAAAACATAGCAAACAATAACATAAATTCAATATCGCCAAGATCTAGAAACAACAAATCAAGACAGACATTCATGATATTCAGAACATATATTCAAGACACACACCCCTAATATTCAGTCCGGATATCATAGGGAAAGGGTGGGCACAAGCGCGCGGAGCGATATTTTTTTGCGGAGGGCGTCGCCTGGCATTGCCTGGCTGTACCTTGGCTTACCCTTCCAATTTGACTAGAAAATGAGGAATACGCCCTAAAGACCTAGAACTCATCATTTTCTAGTGAATTGGTCTGGCTGGATACCCTACCTTTCCATTTC